ATAAAACAACAATACAGCGCAGAATCGCATGGCCGGACGCACTCTTAGTGCAAAAGTTTTCCTCCATTAGTGGAAAAGGAAGGGCGCCTTTTGCGTCTGGATATACTTAGCAACAGAAGGGCGCCCTGCACGTTGGGCACGAAGTATAGGAAACTTGAATGGTTAAAAAGAAGGGCGTCGCCTACGTTGGGCACGACTTCCGCCTCATTTTTACAATGCGAGAACTCTATCTTGTATTTCTAGTATCTTTGCTGTGGCATCGACAATCCGATACTAGTTGCGAGTACAACCGTCAATTATTAGTCTATGTGTGCCATTCGTTTTTATTTTATTAATTTTGGGCACTTCGCAATGTCTGTTACATCTGATTTTTTTTACCGCGAGCTTGTTAATTGCTTCTATAAACTGCAATTTGATTTGTGAAAATTGACCAAGGAAATGAAAAGTTATAGCAATTTAAAATTTACGAATTTTATAAAATTTCATGTTCTTATGTAACATTAATCTGTCATTTTGACAATGTTGGCGTAAGGTGTCCGAAAACGAACATTTGAGTATATACAAAACATTTATTATATTTTTCTGCGAAGTGAGTCTCATGAACGACAATTCACCACAATTTTGGTAAAATTAATGTTGAAATGAAGAATATAATTTCAGTCTATGTTAGTGCAAAATATCATTAGGCCTTTGTAATCACCGCACGATCGACGCGCGATTATCATGGCAACTAACCCGCGCGTGAGTAATTCGTCACGTACGCTGACGGTTTATGGTCTGGTTGCTATGGTTTTGTGATGTTCAGCGTGTAGGGACGCACGTGCGCCTGGAATGTCGATGCCAGAGTTATAACCTTTGATGTCCCGAGATGTGCGTCCTTCTGTTTAATTGCCTTGATTATTGTTATTTATTTTCTCAAAATAAAGATTGATTTTTCATTTTAATCTTAAAATTACAAAACATACACTCATGTTAATCACTTCAATAAAATATCACCTTCACTTTCATCGTCAACAAACACAACAATAAGACACCATATTTAAAAAAAATGTATGTTTAATAAAATATTCTGTGTACAGTGGTGAATATTTTTTTTTTTTGGTTCCAATGTTACCGTATATCTTTTGGATTTTTTTTTTCTCTTATTATGAACGAATATGATATAGAAAAACGTATAGGCCTACTTGTATTCTGTGTACATAATTAAGCAATGTGTCCATGCAAAGGAAAAATATCACTTGGATACTTTGACGCAATATATATACACAGGCGTGACACCAGGATTTGCCCAACTTGGGTGGAGGGTGATGTTCCTGACTATAGCAAACGCATATTTTTAAAGAGTGACGACAATTATACGTGGTCTATGACAACAATAGTGGCTAACTCTCCCTAACCTGCGGTCGTGTCTAAAATTCTACAACTAAAGGTTATTTTCTACTTCTACCGTGTCCATTTTAATTGTGTTATAATTTAAAAACCTTTTATTCAATTAAGCACATATGCCAACGATCTCCTATCAATGAACCGAGTTCAACATTACCTAATTTTAGTGATTAATAAGAACTAATTGCCAATATTATTACATTATTTTTAATTGAAGCATAATGTAGTTTAACTGTTAGTCATGTTTCTTTCAGTACGACATATTGGGAGTGAAAATAATAAGATATTGCCTGGTCTATGGTTTCTTGAATATTAATTAAGAAGTGAATTTCCTGAAACAAAAAAAAAAAAAAAAATTTATAGCGGAGGGTCTGAAGAGAGTATTCTTTACAAAGAATACAACATTACTTCACCATAAAGTCCAGAGAGACAAATTCAAGCGCTATAATAAAGTTATTATATGATTAGGCCTATATAATATATGTTCCATATATGTATAAATTCATAATAGTATTGGCAGTAGTTTGGCGTTGTCTTTTACAAGAATAACGAAAAAAAGGTTAATTTATTAATAATCCCTGTACCAAAGAAACATATTTTACAAAATTCATGATATATTTAAACTATAAAGTATTATTATTGTGTAAAAACATTTCTGTGTTTCAATTACTAAAATATGTTTACAGTTATACTAAGTGTTTTTTAAATATAAATATGTCTAATAGATTTTGATGTTGTAGTTTTCGTTATTATGTCTATTCTTCTTTTTTATTTTGCTTTATTGTAAAATTGTTTAATTATATCAAATAAATTGAAAACCATAAATGTTAACAAACAACAAACGATTGTTTATGTATAATCTATTGTCACGCCAGCTTTCATGTTGCAAATGGGAAGCAGGAACGTTTTAAATATTGTTATTACTATTATTATTTATAATAATAATAATAATTATTATTATTATTATTATTACTGTAATATAAATTTATTTCGAACTGTAACACTGATAAGCTAAGCTCAAAATGTAACAGAAGAATATACTTCCTCCATACAATGAACTTTAATGTTGAAACCTAATGTATTATGTTCATGCATCACATATTGAAATTGCCTGGTCTATGATTTCTTGAATATTAATTAATTCAAGTGAAGCCCTTGAAATAAAAAAAAACATAACGGAGGGTCTGAAGAGATATATTCTTCACAAAGAATATGAGTATAAAACAACATTACTTGACAGAAACTTATCGAGAGACAAATTCAAGTGCTATAATAAAGTTATAAGCATATTATATGATATATGTCCCATCTCTATATAAATTATTAATAGTATTGGCAGTGGCATAACTCTTATGCGCTCTCATGCGGCGGTGTGCAGGGCCCCGAATTCTAGGGGTCCGAAGGTTCCTCGATTTAGCACCCTGGCCAAAAAGGACTTTGTTGATAAATAACACCATAACGTGTCTCTGAAATCGACTTTATGGCATATATCATACTATAACGATTAAAGAGTTGGGGCCTCTCCGCCCGCGACCCCACCAAATTTGTCAAAAAAAAAAAAAAATAATAATATAAAAAGAAAACTATATTCACAATTTTAAGTCTAAGTGCCATTTCCGGCCATCTAGACGTGCCATAATAATACACTTTCATACCTCAGCCCCACAAGGGCAACAGCATAATGTGTGTCTGAAATCGACTATAGGACATATCATATTATATCCAGTGGCGGAATAAAGAGTGGGGGAGGGGGAGCAGGCGGCCTGGGGCCCACTAAATTTGTCAAAATATTTTTTAACCAGAGATAAAAAGAAAATTAAATTGACAATTTTATGTACAGTATGTGAAGTGACATTTCCAGCCATTTAAAGGTGCCATATTCATAAATTTTCTTACCCCCAACAATGGTGGGTCTGAGGTGGTATAGACTCTCCAACTGTGAAAGTCCCTCCCTGGCCTAAATTTTCTGGATCCATATTATATCATTTATTTGTCGTTAACAACATTTAGAATGACAATGCACATCTAAAATCCCACGATGGAATTGGTGACCGGACATAAAAAGGGCCACCAGTTTCAGAAATACGCAGGGCCCCCGGCCCCATCGTTACGCCACTCAGTATTAGCAGTAGTTTGGCAGTGTCTTTTACAAGAATAAGATAAAAAACGTTCATGTATTAGTAATCTCTGTACCAAGAAACATATTCTACACTAATTTCATGACATACATAAACCATAAAGTTTTATTATCGTGTAAAATAATTAAATTAACAAAATGTTATTTTTGTTTGTTTTACTCTTCGGATTTTTCTTTAAAACCCTGAAGTGCCACGTTAGTGTCTATTGGCTGCAAGTTATCAATGCCACCAGCTGAGGGTATTTCCGATTCACCAGTGCCAAACGTGGTCTCTATCTCTATCTCCTGTTGATGTTTCTTCATGAAATGGAATACTGGAATGAAAAATGTTTCATAGCAAAAATGATTATGTACATTTGCTTTTTAATTTATTACATGTCGTTCTAGCACAACAGTGAAACATCCACGAAAAAGACAATAAAGCACATTACATTTTCCGATGTTTGGAATAAATATAAACAATTGTTTAAGTCATATATGAAACAAATATTAGGAAATGTACAGCTTATACGCTAATCATCCTCTGAATACTTATGAATTTGCTTTGTTGAAATGTGTAAAATAGGGAGATTTCGAATTTGCACAACGATGTGAACCTAAAACGAATTTATTCATCCATGACAATGTAGATTCAGGCCAACAACTAATTCAGACTCACTCTACGTGACCTCATTACTTTTAGACCTTACCGCTGTCGTGCAATCGAAAGCTCCCTATGTAAAGACCATAGTTTAATATTTTGGAGGAGGGGAACTATAAACTTAAGAAAAAAAGTCTCTACATATTTGTCACGATTGATAATTAATTATTAACTTACGGAAGAAACCAACAACAAATACCAAACACACGACTCCACCAGCACCACCTCCAATGGCGTATTTTAAGACTTCATTACGTCCATCCTTTAAAGAAAAGAAGTAGGCAATTATTGAAATTGTGCTTTAAGATTTTGTTTTAGTGTTATCAGCATCATTGTCATGCACTACCATCACCATCACTCATTCACCATCACATACTATAGTTTCAATCACAAACATGTATCTAATAACAGCAACATTTGAACCCAAAAGTATACTAATATGAGAGAGTTAAGAGTCTGTTATCGCTGAGGAGGACCATAAGAGTGCTCGAAAAATTCGAATTAAAAATATTCTATGTTGATCAAATCTGTTTACCTGAAGCGTTTCAGTATTGTTAGTGCCATTCAATATTAACGTTGTACCGCCATCTAATATTAACGTCACTGTACCACTTGTCGAGATATCTTCATCTATAAAAATAAAAAAAGTAAATATAATTTAATGCCAGTCTTTTATACTATTTATACTATATTTTAGACCTATAATAATCTTGTAATAATTTGTGTCACTATTCATGCATGTGATTATATTACTTGTTCTCTGAACTTAATATTAATGTTTTCATCTTTACTGTACCTTGTTTACAATAAAAAAAAATTAAATGAATTATTAAAGTGAATATAACCATAGAATGAAATAATTGTTTAATTGCAAAAATAATAGAAAAGTTGATAGAAATTTAATAACGATTAGGGTCACGTAGAAATATAAAAGTTTGATTTTAAAATTACAATTAAGAAAAAAATATTTTGCATATTTTATAGTGTAATATAGTACAGTAATATATCGTCATATCTATTGACACAATAATTAGTTCCAAAAAATTGAATTATCGATGATCACTTTGTGCATGGAATGGACCTTTCTGGAATGAAAATGACCAATCAGAACTGAGCCATGAATACGTGCCTGTCACACAAAAAATGTGCTTACGTTCCTTTACGCTGTCATTTTGTGGGACATTACCCTTTAAGTGAAACGGTACATTATTTTACATCGTCCCTAGATTAGAACCTGTTAACTGGTAAATGATATAAAATGAGCTTCATCAGTGCCAATTGGAAACTCTCCATCTATTACTCAATCGAGAACCGGTAGCATCATTGTAGTATCACTGTGCGGTACATTATAGCGGGCTTAAATCATAAATTGAAAAGAAATAAGAAATAAGAAAGAACGGAAAAATAGAAAGGGAAAAAAACTATAAGAATATAAAGAAACATCATTGAAAGGAAACGAAAAGAAGAAAAAGGGAAATGTATATAAAACTAAATTTAAGGAAAGAAACAAGTAAAGAAAAGGTAGAATAAAGAAAAGAGAGAAGAGGGAGAAAAAGTAGGAATATATAAAAAATAAAATTACTGCTTTTGTTAAATAAATTAATTTTTTATGCAGTTAATCAAACTTCTATAAATACATAATACTTTTTGAATAGGTAATTCTAAAATTAAGTCTCACTTTTTTGCATTTTCAACAAATGAATATATAAACAAAAAAATTAATTATTTATTTACTATTTTTTAACACTTTTAATCAAAAGTAACTGCCCCTTGGAATAGCATGCTAGATAAATGACGCATTATGAGTGATTTTTTTCAAATTACTATTAATGCCTTCTTAGATTTTGTATTTCCCACACCGCACAATCTCACAGTTTGCAACACCACTCCTAATGGAGCAATGCTGCAAACTATAACGTAATTATTATTATTATTATTATTATTATTAATATTATTACTATCATTATGCAACATATTTATTCAGTAACTGTATAAGAAACAACACTCACCACATATGTATCCATCTTGATGTGCGTATTGAGTGTTAGGACATATTGGACCAATGATACCGGCGTTGAACCCTGTCACTTCGAATAATTCACCTCGGTGTTCAAATATTTTTCCCGGTGCTAACAAATAATTAAGTTCGATCACTGTGACTCTAACTCTTTCAATTTTGTCTTGAACGTGAGACGCCAATTCTTTCCGACTTGCATTGGCAATATCAATCGATCTGAGGTTCACACTTTTAACGTCGAATGATATATCGGTCAAAAACGTTTTCTCGGCAGGTCTAAATTCTTTGTAGTTAATATGTTCGAGTTCTAATTCTTTATACATAACCTCTGAAATAATATTTCTCAAAGACTCATTTGTATGAGTCGAGTTCGAATCATCTAATTGATAAAGCGTAATCGAAATATCACTGGAGAACTCCGGTACAGATACACCAAGAACATTTAGTCTTGCACGATTTGACATCTGCCTTCCGTGTGCGTTCCATGCCTCACATGTATACCATCCTTCTTGGCTAAATGTTGGACTTAGTATCTCAATACCAGAAGCATTCTCACCTGAGACGGCTTTCATGGTTGATGTTAACGAAGACTGGAAATACCACTGATAGTTTGGTAATGGAAGAGCAGAAGCTTCGCAAGTGAAGAATATGCCTTCAGGATTTCCTTGTTCGATGTCAGCATCTTGTGGATGTTCGATAATCGATGGCGCAAACTCTACAGTAAGCTCACATTGCTCAGATTGAACTGACGTCACTTCGTTGTTGGCATGACAAGTGTATGTACCCGAATCAGAGGTGTTCACATGCCTCAGTAGAAGCAAATTTGTATACCTACCACCCAGTGTTTCACCATTAAACTTCCAACTAAATGTTGGTGATGGGTTTCCGGATGCCTGACACGTTATAGTGACTTCAGTTCCTTCGACCGTCACAATTTTAGCTTCTGGATGTTTAGTAATGGTTGGCTTTCTTAAACATATGTCATTATCATTTTGAAGAAAATTAACCTGACTTAGTACATTTCTTGCTCCTGTTAAAGCTTCATTGACATTTAACCTAGTTTTAAATAAAAGTGTTGATATGTATTCATCAAGAATTATAACCTTCTGGTAAATTTGACGATCTTCAGACAAATATTTCAATCCGATCAATTCAGTTGCCAAACAATCATGAAATCCCTCACAATCAGCTAGTCCACTGAAATTACGTGTGTATGTTTCCATTACGACTTCCCATCGTGACAAGACATCATCAACCTTCAGCAATGACTTTGTGTTGTTTGTTGTTATTTTCGCTGAGTAAATAACTTGTGTCAAAGCAATTTGCTGAAGACTGGCAGATAAACTGTTCTTTAGATATTGAATATCATCCATAGTCAAGTTGAAATACTGCAAGGCAGTGCTGGTATTTACAGCTTCCGATGTTGTTTTTGATAAATTATAATGTATAAGACCATTATCTAAACTACTGTTTAGATATTGTATATCGTCCATAGTCAAATTGAAAAATTGCAAGGCAGTGCTGGTATTTACAACTTCCGATGTTGGATTTGGTAAATTATAATGGATAAGACCATCATCTAAACTACTGTTTAGATATTGTATATCGTCCATAGTTAAGTTGAAATAATGAAAAGCAGCACTGCCATTAATAGCTTTGGATGATGATACTGATAAATTATAAATGTATTCACTGTGAAAGTTGTCTACATTTTCTAAAGCTGGGACATTAATTACTTTGCTAATGTTTGCAACCTCCAGTAGTATATTAAAAGAGTTCTTGACGAAACCTAGAATATTGTTGAAGTCTTTGCATCTTGCCTCATTCTGAACAACATTATGATCTCGCAAAATTGTTTTACTTATGTTGTAGTCCAAAGTGCTGTTTACTAAATTATAGCTTACGCTGTCCATCTGTGGTTGTTCAATAACAGTAACATTGTCACGTCTGTTACGATCGTAGACAAGCCCAATTCGTCTCTGGCTCATTTTTCTTCCTCTTCTTACAGAACGTGTAATATCACCAAACAGTTTTTCTGTCATAAACAGTGCAGCATTTTCAAGTGAGTATTCTAAATTTTTGAAATCAATGTAAATTTTAATCTGTACAGGAATGGCCGCCAGCTTGAGGTGACATACGACTGGAATTACCGTAGTTTCCTCTCCAACTATGTCAATTTCAAATTGAAGTCTCTTGAACTCCAAACTTGCTTCAATTGATCCATTGATTTGAAGTTCCTTTATGGCCAAGCCTGCTTTAACATTCTCTCTTATTTCGTTGATTGCATTTTGCATAATGTGAAGATGTGCCTGCGATGACCGAACTCTAATCAACACTTTGTCGTGTTGTCTAACTGCGTCTTGTAGTTCGATTACTGCCCTATTCAATGCTGCTTTGGCAAGTAATGCGCGTAGGACAGCATTGTCCAACTCTTCAACAAGTGTTGAAAGATCAGGAGTTGTTAGTTTTAGATGGTCAAATAAACGCTTTCGTGTTTTTCGGCATTCGTCATTTCTACGCACACAGTTGGCATTGGGTATCTGAATACTACAAGCAACTTCTTCCATTTCAATCTTTTCTACTTGGCCTACAGTCTGATACTTAATGCATGTACTGCATGATGTGTACGTAATGCTAATTTCAACAGGTTTCTTGCAAACATTACAACAACTGTATCTTGAATAACACCTTCGCTGGCCAATGTTTAATCTGACACTACTCACAGGTGTGATGCCTGCAGTGAGCCAGTTATCAGAAAATGGTGAAAACCCAGAAACTACTAACTTAAATGGGTTTAAATTAAACCAAGATCTTCTTACAGGTCTTGTACCACGACAAATTTTACAACATGTAGTTGTTTCTACCACAACCGCTGATTCCGTTCTCTCATCAAAACATTCATACGGCACATATGCATAAATATCTTCATTGACAGTAACAATTGTACTTCCAGGTAGACATACTTGCCTGCATTCACGTACTTCACACACGGAATTCAAATAGTCCTCCATCTCCTGCGTGTAATTGCGTTGGTCATCCAATGAGTCGCGTGCGCGCTTAAGATTGTTATTTGCTACCAAAAGATCGTTCTCTGCCATTTCATGATTTTTTCTCGCTTCGTCCACTTTTGCCTTCCTCAAACGTTCTTCTTCCAAAACGACATTTAACCGTGATTCTGCGATTGCGACTGATCTAACCCATTGTTCCAGTCTTCGTTCGCTGTCATCTACTGATTTCTGTGATAGTGTGATAATTTTGTTTTTGATAATTCTGCCTAAAGAGAATGGACCTTCAACAGAAAAGTTACCATTCACATGTAGTACCATCGATTCAAAAGAATCCAACTCTGAAGTAACAAATCCTTCCATATCAAATAATCCCCACAGCTTTCCTGTCAAGTAAAAATATGTTCCTGACATCGTCAGGTGCAACATCGTCATTTGCTCAATCCCAAAGACATTTGTGAGTACCGGTATACATCCTGACCAATGATTTTCATTGGATTGCAATGCTAAACTAAATTTAGCATTGGTAGGGATAGTAATAAACCGATTCAGCATTTCTTTAGCTGCGTATTTGCCTCTTATACAAATTGTTGATATACCGAAATCAATTTGTAGCTCAGTACTCTCTTGACAACTTGAATTTGACATGGAGTTCAATACTTCCACTTCTAACGATGGAAAACAAAGGTACGACGACAAGCAGACTTCGGACATCATACGAAAGCCAGATCCTGTTGTTGTTTCTTGAACAAAAACATTCTGCAATTCAATGAGAACTTGATTGCCGAGTTTCTCTAGTTGATGTGTTATGTTATAGAGATCTCCTTTAAAATCATTATATTGGATATTTGAGTTGCTATAAAGCGTATAATTTACGTAACGAAGCGAATTCAGACTTCCTTTACATTGTATACGCAACTCAGACAGAGAGTTAACAATTGACTTTATTTCCTCTCCAGACAATACCTGGAAATAACTGTTGATTGTATCATTCAGGTGACCGGTTGAAGATAGAATAGTAGAATACATATTCTTATATCCAGATGTCAATAGATTTTCAGCTAATGTAGCTAATTGTGTCGGTATGTCTTGCAGCTTGTTGATAATCTCTGTTACACCCTCAAGGTCAGATGGGATGGAAAGATTCGGCGACAAATCATAATATAGGAAAACCTCAACCGGTGACCCTACTTTCTGAGGAAGCAGCCATGAAAATGGCGTATCATCAAAAACACCGTGTGAAGTCGATGATTCCATTACTATTGCACTTGCAGATGAATTGCGACTAGTAGGACGATCTATGCAAGAGACAATGTTTTCGCTGTTGTTTAAATTGTCTATATTTGATTGTACAAGATTATATATAACATAATATTTATATATTATATACCATGTAACCTACATATTTTTGTAATAAAAAAAATAAAACATCACATACGATAGGCATTCCCCGTTTGAAATAGGAATTGTAGATTTATCACCATTAAACTCCGTTGCTGTTATCATTTCGGAGCATAAAAAATGTGTCCGTTTTTACATTGCATTAGAAATTACAACGTAACAAATAAATAAAAAAATGTGTCATGTAGAGTAATTTATAAGTTATTAAACACCGAATTATCATAAAATGTGTTATTCATGAAATGTTTGTGATGTAAATGTAAATATCCTAAATTAGTTCACTTGGTGTAGAAAAACATAACTTACTGCCAAAGCTAGCATTCAGTACTGGGTTATTCACTTGGCTTGACTTGAATTTCAATGATACGTCCTCACCAAGTATTTTCCAGGGCAATCTAATTTTGGATTCACCGTATTGCTGTATCATCCAATGTTGTGTGAACAGGTGACTAAATAGCTGTTATTGAAATTAAATGTATAACTAATAATAATAATAATAATAATAATAATAATAGCTGTTTAAATATATGTTGAATAAATAAAAATTCTCTATTACGTAATTATGAAATAGAAAACTATTCTGGTGTCAAAATTGTGTGTGTCTGTTGTACTTTATAACAATTCAATTAAAAGAAATATAATTGTTTATGCTTATATAGTTAACTATTTCCAACAATGCTGTATCATGAATTTGAACACCAATACCCAAAATATGTATAATTCTAAACAGAATAAAGGCAGAAAACATAATTCAGATAATGTATATACTCTAAAACAGAATTAAACATACTTGTGTTGTATCTTCTAGTGTCACTTGAAGATCCCCACTACCTTCAAGTTTTGCAGACACTGTTTGGTTTATATTATAGGCATACTGAAGACTGACAAAGATACTGATTTTCTCATCGTCTAGTTGACCATATTGACCATTTGGAATTAGCTTGTCAGTTGTAGAAAATGCAACACCATTGACTTCAACTTTGAGGGAATCATCAACATTTACATCCTTGACGTGTCTCATAACATCTCTCGAACCTTCGGGAAAAATCATCATAACCGTTCCCAAAGTGATGTTGCACACACCCACAATAAAGCAGTATTTTCCATTGTATGGCGGGAGTGGTAATGTTACATGTCTGCCCCCAACAGTTAATTCAGCCTTGTAGAGTAAATATACGGAATACTGACCGTCACTGATGACGGGTGCAGAGGAGCACCATTCGGTTGATTTCACCTCATTTCCATTAAGTATTAATGTTGAAAATGATGTTTTTGAGTTTATTGGATCTATGTTAACTGATATAAAAGTGATCCAATCTGGCAGAATGTGTTCCAGTTGCTGTGTATATTTGCGATATAATGATTTCTGTTGAACAAAGTATTGGATACCATCCAATGTTATGCTTTCACTTTGACAGTTGGCAAGGGAAGTAGCTGTTTTTTTCCCATCGCTTGTAGTCGAATATCCGTTAAGATTAAGTGGTAGTTCAAATGAGTCTGTTACTAAAGAAACAACGCCAGTACTTAGAGCAGCAGCCTTCTCTGTCGTCCATTTTTCTGTTGATCTTAATCGTGCATCTCGGCTTGAACATATAGACTCATCTGACAGCTCAAAACACCCAGATGGCAGTTGATAACGCGGTGTAAATTGTGTTCCGTGGACATACCCATTGTTATGTGTATTATTTTGAAACACAAATAGTTCATCATCGTCTGGAGATTTGAATTTTGCTGCTTCTTTATCTCTCAAAACATATGTAATCTTTGTAAACCCCTTACCAACTCCTTGAATAGAAACAGTTTGGATATTTGATTCTGAAGTAAAATATAGTTCAGTTGGGTAAATGACAACTTTACTTGGATTTGCCATGATTGTTAATATGAGTGTTTGCTTTGGTTTAGCAATAAATTCCAAATCATTGTAGACATTGCCTACCCATATCTCAGGCCACTTAGGTGTTGTTACAAAACCGTCTCCACAATTTGTTCCCGTATAGCCAGTTCCTGTGCAGTCGCAGAAATACCCGTTTGCCTCATTTTGGGATGAGCGACAGGCACCGTTTACACAAGGTGATGGTGAGCACACCTGGATTTCTAAAGTTAAAATATGCTTTTAATGAAAATTGTGTACATATATTATTGTTTAAACTGAGCTCAAGTTCATTGACCTATTATAAACGTAAATATTTTTGGTTGTTTATTTATTAAGTTGGCTAGCATACCGTGCTTAATCCATATAATTAATGTTGAGAGTAATGAAACACAATAGGTCTACTTTTTACCTTTACATACTGGGCCAGAGTTGTTCCAGAGTCCAGACAGTTGACACTGTGTAATACTATCTCCTTCTAAGAAGTACCCCAAATCACAACCAAACACACAGCGACTGCCGACTTTGTTTTCACACGGAAAAAAGATGTAACCATTGGGTAGTGGTGACAGCTCAGGACACAGAATCTCTGTAATAATAGAATTAAATTAAGATGAGAAAGTAGCATGTTCGTTTCGGTTCCATGTTCCATGTAAGCGTTGTAGGGCACCGGACAGGAAAAGACAAGGTAAGACTTTTTGGTCTAACAGTGCAACAATCAGCTTCTGAGCACAGTAGAACACAGCCACTATATAAATTATATATATATATATATATATAAATTATATATATATATAAATTATATATATATATATATATAAATTATATATAATATATATATCCAAATAAATATAGAGTTGCTGCATAGACAGATTTGTATATATAAAATAAGAAGTCAAACAAAGTTCTGTATCTGTCTCAAAAATAAAATATTTATTGTACTAGTACTTTCAACCATAGGTCATCATCAGGTACCTGATGTCATATCATCAATATATATAAATCATCAAAAAAAGGTAAATACATTGTTCAAATAAAGGACATAATAAATCGTGTAACATAGCTCTCAACGAATGTAGTCCTGTAAATAAATGAATAAAGAAATTGTGTAATAAAATGCCTCCGACGGGACTCAAACCTGCAACCTCTCACTGTCAAGGCGGGGGTGAACCATTAGACCACAGAGGCTTCATGGTTGAACAGATTCAAATACCACCTATTGTGTAATGGAGTGTATCTGGTGGTATTTGAATAGACTCAAATACCACCAGATACACTCCATTACACAAGATGTACGGCTAGAAACAAATAGTTGCATATAATATAAATCAAGATAGCCGTTAACACTGTTAAATTATATATATAAATCATCAAAGAAAGGTAAATACAGTGTTCGAATAAAGAGCATAATAATACATCTTGTAGCATAGCTCTCAACAAATGTAGTCCTGTAACTAAATGAATAAAGAAATTGTGTAATAAAATGCCTCTGGCGGGACTCGAACCTGCGACCTCCCTTGACATTGTGTTAATTCACCTCCCCAAACGCCGTTAGGTAAGCACTCTCGCCTATTAGATCCCAAAAGTCGATAGTTCCATTCACATTCGAAAATGCATGACTCTCCAGTTGTGAAACCAGTGCAGTTGCGTGTACCGTTAAAAAGAACTCCAATGTTGATACATGGATTGGCTGTCACAATGTGATTAAAATTTATGGAAATTGTTAGTTTTAATTTATTTTAATGTATATTTATCATATTTGATTTTTAATGTATTGTAATGTACACTCTTATGTAACTTATCTATTGAATGCACCGCAACTCGCCAGTGCCAATTGATAGAAAAGTGTATATTCAATAAAGATTATTAGCATTAGGACTACAGGTAGAAATAAACAAATGTATTATATAGTAATTACACATTGAACCTAGATTTATAACAATGATTTACATCAGTTTAAAATGATTTCTAAACACATCAGTAAAATCCACACATATTATCATTTGTTTTAAATCGATTTTCTTGATTTTAATTTATAAAATATCATTATAATTATTTTTTAGCTACAAAATTTGGGCTTATTTGTATAGAAGTAAAGTTTTATAAGTTCCATTTAAAAAGGGTAGCCATTTTAAAATTAATACAGCCAAACAACTTTAAATCTATGACAATTTCAAATTTTAAGCATTCTATTTCAAATCCTCAATAATACCATCTTAATTTAACCTGATTTTCTTTTACCTTGCATATTCATATTTATTATTAAAAATTTTTATTTTCTTAAAGTTTCTTTCAATGTTCCTCTTAAATCTTTTAAATTTGTAGTTAAGTTATCAATATTTTAATTTGGTTACAATGTGTATATACCTGCTTTTAAAATGTTATAGTTAAGAACTGAACCACTTTGGAAACCAGTACTATGTATTGAAAGTGTATATTCAGTATAAAGAAAGAATAAATAAAATAAATAAATAAATAAAATAAACAAAGATGTTTGGAAAATTAAAAAAGCAAATATGTAAATTCCAAAAGAACAAAGAAATATAGATAATCATGACTACATCAATACATATAGCGTTATTATTTATCTAAAAAATAATCTACCAGTGCAGCTTTTTCCATCATTTAGTGTCCAGCCGTCGTAACAATCACAGGTGAAACTGCCAACAGTGTTGGTACAAAGTTGGGTACATCCAGAAGTACCATCTAAACACTCGTTAACATCTAATTCAAAATATAAAAAAGAAAATTTGGAAAGGATGAAAAATCAATGAACTAGGAAATGTGTGTAAGGAGCCCATTATACAAGATCTTGGCATTGTGTGGTAGGGTGGCCAATTCCTTTCTACACTGCCTTTTAACTTCCCCAGAAATTTTCAACCAGGTACCTAATTACACTCTTGGATGGATAAAGACTGTCATAGGTAAAGTGCCTTGTTCAAGGATTCAAGAGAAATTCACAGCAATGGTTCAAATCCTTGCCTTTGTGGTTGAGAAACAGTCAACTTGCAAAACATTATCAATACATTAACATTTTAAAAATATACACATCTCACATCTCAGGTATACACTATCAAATATTTGTCTGTCAGACTCAACTTATCTTGTGTATTGACTTAGCTTAAGGAAGTACAGAACAAGCAGATTTTTAACTGATATGCAAAGGTAATTAAGAGTGATTAGGGTCTACTTCGTAATTTTGATGGGGCACTATGTCACTGCTTACTTCTACGTATATAAAAAGCATATTAAACTAAAGGTAGTTTGCAAACCTCAATTAAATAAATAACATACCACTTACTAGCCATTTGTATAATATTTTTTGCTGAACAATGTTGATAATAACTGTAGATTAGTTGAAATATTTATTATTAATAGGCCTATCGTGGCAATATTTAAAAAAATAATAATACTAATGAATAATACTAATAATAATCATCACCACAATAATAATAATAATATATAATAATAATAATAATAATAATAATAACAATAATACCTTCACAGTTATACATATCGAACGCTTCATACCCCTCTTTGCATATACACTCAAAGCTACCAGGTAAATTGGTACAATTGTGACAATTGGCGAAGGTGCATTCGTCAATATCTGAAAATAAACACAGTTTTGTTTTATAACAATATTTTGTGATCAGCTGCTTTTGTGATCAGCTGCTTTTGTGATCAACTGCTTGTGATCAACAAATCTATTAATAGCATGGAATGGAATGAATTTATTCGGTGTAAACACCAAGGATAGCCCACGAAAGTCTAGAAGAAGACTTATTTCCAGTGGGGTCCTTCTGGTGGTGATTGAACAGTACACCGGGAGACAATCCCCTACTCTTTTCCGAAGAGTGTACTGCGTTCTTTAACGTGCACATGGGCCATAAATGCACACGGGACCAACGGCTTAAATGTCTCATCCGAAAGACGGTGCACTATTGTAACTTGTATTTCAGCCCTCCAGCTGAAACACAAGGAGAGGCAACGATGGGAATTGAACCGGGGATCTAGAGATCTCCACGGTTCAGCGCACACACAGTGGCTACCACCAGATAGCCAACTGAGCTAAGTTGCTCTCTGCATATATATTGCGATATACAGAGTATGGGATATACAGAGTGTGGCAGTATAGGCCTTAGTCTGGGCATCAAGGTACATTTTGTAAAAGAAAATGACCCCACGTTTAATTGGTATCTTCGAAAAGGTCAAACTTCCGGGAACTTGGAACTGCCCTTCTGGTTGATAAATAGGTCAGATGTCAATAAATGTCATTTCAGGACAATTTTAAAATGGAAATTAATCTGGAATATAAAACATAGAAATGTTACACCTCATATGAAAGCTCCGTATAGCATTAGGCCGACCAGCCCTCCTTAACTAACGTTATGTTATCTCACTATATTAATTGGATTAACACATTATCAAGGATAAGTACTGAGTGTTTAACACTGGTGTCCTTGGATTCAATTATAGGTATAAATGGATTAGTTGCCTTTTTTATGAGGTTTTAATTGTTCTTTACCGCCGAAAGTGCAGTATTCTAACGTTAGTTTAAGGAGGGGTCGGCCTAATGAATATCAAAAGTTGCACAGAGTTGTCGTCTGGCAGTGAGTTAACTACAGTATGTAAGAGCGAGTAAATCCGGTTGGAGGTGCATGATGGGTACTCCACGAGATAGGGTTGCCCTACTAGAAAAGTTCAGAAGTCGAACAAGATTGCGTTCAAAACTCCAACATGCGTCATAGAGACGAGATAACTGATTACCCATTCAGATAATTAAGTAAACATTAAGTAGGCCTATAAGGCAGTAGACACACTCTCTCGCTGCGAGACTATTTTTTGTTTGAGTCTTGATAGCATGCTACAAGTTAAATGAAAATTATTACATTTGTGGGCCAAGAGGTCACGTTTTTTTGTTAAACATCTTAAAAAACAAATACCCAATATTTCTTTTCTTTATGCTGGGATCATCCAAGTATTAGTCTAATATTTTAACAACAAAGACAACAGTGATATAAGAGAGATTTCAGAACCTTAAGTAAACGATAACGAAAACGAATATGTCAGTCACATATACGTCACATTTTCGTTCCCGTAATCGCAAACTATAAAAATCACGTTTTCGCACACACTGAACGAATACGAAAAATAAATATATATCTTGCCAATAAATATCTGTATAAAGTCTTCAGAAGGTTTCTTTCTGCATTCAATTATGTTACAGTGTGAATAATAATCTTTTGTGAATGCAGTCGTTTATGGTGCATAAAAAAACATACATAGAGTTATGAAAATCGCTCGATACTCTGTGATCAAAATATTTGGGGATCATCTTTAAAGTTCAAAACATGATGACATACTGTAGTCGTTTGCGTAATCGTTTTCGTAAGGTTGCAAAACCTCCCTATTTACTAACATTACGCATATTCTACATTAAAAGTGACCCAGGAGCTTAGCCATAGAAAATATTATTTGTTTAATACCTAATGGCTATCTTATAACGATGAACGACTTTCCCGCTTCATTTATTATTGTGCCAATTTGGAATAATTTGGACCCCACATATACTGTAGTAGACCTGTCTCTTATACACATCTAGATGTGTATAAGAGACAGTATATATATATATATATAATTTTTGTGTATTCTTTTAGAAACAAACCTTCACAATGTGTTAATTGACCTCCCCAAACACCGTCAGATAAGCACTCCCGCCTATTAGAACCCAAAAGTTGATAGTTCCGTTCACACTCGAAGACGCATGACTCTCCAGTTGTGAAACCAGTGCAGTTGCGTGTACCGTCAATAGGTATTCCAATGTCAACACATGGATTGGCTGTCACATTGTGATTATAAATTTATGACGAGTGTTATTTTTACAAGGTATAAAAAACTAGACGTATTCAATAACATATGTAACTGAATTAAATGCAAACAATTTAATTCAGTTAGAATTGTAAAAAAGTGAAAAACACTGCTATTTGTTTAACATTGATTTTGTTGATTATAATATATTTATAAAATATATTAATATCAGCTACTAAACTTGGGTTTTATTTGCTATAGAAGTAAAGATTTAATAAAATGAAAGCTATTTCAAATAAAAATAGCCACCATAGAGGTTTGAAAAATTAAATTGGAGAATATATATTAAATTAAAAAAAACAAACATAGAATTGAATATAAAGAGATGACTACAGCAATACATAGTTTTTATTTATAAAAAAAAAAAAATTACCAGTGCAGCTTCTTCCATCAGGATTTAGTGTCCAACCTTTGTAGCAATCACAGGTGAAACTACCGTCAGTGTTGGTACAACGTTGGGTACATCCAGAAGTGCCATCTAAACACTCGTTAACATCTAATTCAAAATATAAAAAAGAAAATATAAAGGTAGTTTCAAATTCATTAAATAACGTAGGAATATGAGTTAGGAGTCCATCGTACATGGAGTCCATCAGACAAATTCTATTCCACACCAATTTTAACTTTCCAAGAATATTTCAATCAGGTACATAATTACACTTCTGGGTGGAGAAAGACAGGCGTATGTGAAAATGCCTTGTCCAAGGACACTTGGCAATAGCAATGCTATTGAAGAAAATTATCAGTGGCAGATTCAAAGGGGCCAAGCTGGCCCAGGCCTCCCTAATTTTTCAAAATTATAAAAATAAAAATGAAAAAAAAAAATTCAAATAATCAAGTTTAGATATGAGAGTTACCATTTTCGGATATTTCAATATACCATAATCATAAATTTTCTTCCCTCAACCCAAACAATGCTGGGGCTCAGGTAGACTCTCCAAAAATAGGCCTTCATTGGAGGTTCACAATAAAATCAAAAAGGTAACCTGCGCTGCAGTCTCAGCGTCAACTTAACCCTTTGAAGTCGTGGTCCGTATCCCATACGGAGTAATTTACTGTCTCTGGATGCGCAGTCCGTATAGGGTACGGACCTATTTATAGTTAATATGACGTTAGGGAAATCCCCTAAAAGAGTCAGCAACAGAGGGCAGCATTATTAAAACAATAGGAGACAAGGCTTAGCGATTGTATAGAGCAAATATCGGCAATTTTTTCTGTCAGTGATTGATGTACTTGGATACACGAGGATAGAGGGATTGTTTATATAATAAATAAATTAATTAATTGATTAATAATATAAATAATAAGAATCTGAGGAAAGATTTTAACTAGAAACTTTAGCAGCGCAACCAGTAATGCTAGGCTTAGGTCTGCAAACGTGCATTTCGGGTTTGGTCATGTACATGGACCCCCTTCTCATATTTCAATACCCCTACCCCCATCTTCTCTATTATTATTATATTATTATTTTGTCAAGTGTATTGTTTTAGTGAATATCCTAGGTCCAGTAGTCCACCCTAGTTAGAAATAAGCATATGTAGGCCTAGCTAGACTTACTTGCCCTCTATCGGGGGAGGGGGTGGGTGATAGAGGCCGTTTCCCAACTTTTGACCTCAATGACCTTTGTGACCTTGGGCATAAAAAAATAATCAAAAATAGGAAAGCATAATTTTTTTTAACCAAATACATTTTTTTTATGTAGAAAACAACATATCCACATAATGCGTATGGTAACATTTATGAGCATAGGAATTTTTTAGGGGGAAAAAAGTACCCTTTTTGGGCCCCTAAATTGCAATATTAGGGCACATGACCTTTGACCTAGGTAAAAAAGTCATATAATTTTGCTATTTTTCGGAAGCCCAAAACATTTTCCACAACAATAGAACCCAACATTTTCAGAAATGCATTTTTCAGAAACCAATTAAAACCCCTTAAGGGGCCCAGTGACATGGAATATAATCCCTTGGGACTTCAAAGGGTTAAGGCAAATCAACTGCAAATACTAATTACTTCATTATTGAGATGGGATATTAGGTGATTGTTTACTTCTACGTATATAAAAAGAATATTGAATTAAGGGAGTTTGTTAAGTTCCATCCAATAAAAAAATAGGACAGAAGTCAATGAATGTCCTTTCAGGATAATTTTAAAATGAAAATTAATCTGGAATATAAGACATGTGTAATACATTAGCTCAACCCGCCCTCGATAAACTAACATTACGTTATCTCACTAATTGGATTAACACATTATCAAGGATAAGTACTGAGTGTTTAACACTGGTGTCCTTGGATTCAATTATAGGTATAAATGGATTAGTTGCCTTTTTTATGAGGTTTTAATTGTTCTTTACCGCCGAAAGTGCGGTATTCTAACATTAGTTTAAGGAGGGCTGGTCGGCCTAATGAATATTAAGCATTTGATGAATAAATATACATGTTGCACCTCATATAAATTCCAATCATTTTTATATTCAATTCTACTAAAGCATAGCTTTTAGATACAATTTTATTTTGGATAAAAACTATGTGTTATTGGTTCAGGTATTTTAGCATTTAAAATGAAACAAATAGTTAACAAGATGTTATGGGTACTCTTCCAACTTGCAGGCTTCTGACATATGAACATATGAGAGAATGAAATTACCAAATTTAATAAATTTATTACAAAAATTTAATTTCTATGAGACTTTTGAGAGTTATTGAAAAGTCAGACATATCAAGTACATTGAAAATATAATAAACAAAAATATCATTTTAATATGCTGTTTTAAATATTTTGTATATTAATTTGCATTTTTATTCAAAATCAAAATATGTAAAATGAGGTAATAACACTAGGCACATCTTTGATATAATTATATTCTCTTATATTAGTTTGCATCAAGTGTGAATATGGTCTAAGAACAGAAGAAAGTGGAGGGTTGAAAACATAGTGTAAAACAAACATAGAAATAATGAAGAAAATCAAAACCAAACAAAACCAATAGCTTTTCTGAGGTTGTGGAAAAAGCTAATAATATTAATATTCATAAAGCAGGAACCTATCAGATGTTGAATAATTCCCATAAATAAAGTTGAAGGTACCTCCTGTATCTGTTTCTATCACTAATGTATTTGTGATAACATTTAAAAAGTGTGACAGAACAAAGCCATACATGTACATAGTTTGAGTCTTACCGGTGCAATTAATTGTCCCATCAAACCCATCATAACACGAGCAGCTGAACGATCCAGGAAAGTTGTCACAGATATGTTCACAGCCTCCATTGTTTGTTAAACATTCATCAATATCTGATATTTTTGAAAACACCATGATTATGAAAGAATTGTTGGTGTAAACGCAACATATGATTATACATTATATCATTATCATTAAATTAATCACAATGATCTCAGTAAACGCTGAAAAATGTA